CTAAACCTGAAGGCATACACTTTCAGACCCTAAAATCTCAAGGGTTCTTAGTTTTTAAAAGCTAAACAGAAATATGTTTGGTTTAAAAATCTACCAATAATGTTTCAGTTCATCAGACTTTCTAAATCAAACAGCTGTGTTATAGCTTATTCAGGTAATCTGAGGCCTAAATATGACAGACACTAATAGAAATTTCTAATGAATACATGATCAAATTAATGAAATGAACTCCGTGATAGATTTCCTGTGGCATCTGTTCATTTTCCACTCTAACGCTCAGGCCACAAGTCAAGAATCTAGGGGCAGACTCCACTCCTGGTCACTCAGCAGTGCCAGAGCCCAGCTCAGAGCCTTTGCTGGACCCCACGTTCACCAAGGCTCCAAGGAGCTCCTCGGATTCCCCTCTCCCCGAGCTTCCCACATTCAGCTGCGTTTCTTTCTCCCTTGACAGTTAGCAGAGAGACTGTTTACAAGTCAGAAGCTCACAAATTAGTCCAGGCTAGACCTGGACCGGTAGGCTCCAGAGTAGGCTTTGCCTACTTAAAGTCAGTAAAGCAGAAGTCCCTAAGAGAATGTGCTCAAGAAAAGGCGGTTTCATGAGGCCGACGAGACTGGGTAGGGAAGGAGCCCCAGGAGAAGGCAAAGGCAGGCCTGCGCCTCGGCAGGACCGGGCGACGTGCACTCACATGCACGGTGTCTAGCCCTCCGCTTCTGAAGGAAGCAGCCCAGCAGTGTCGTCCAGTGTTAGCAACGTCTGCATCTCACCCGTGATGTTGGTCCCCAACACGTAGGCCACCCCATCAGTGCGTGGTGTCGTCAGAGCCTGAACCCACGCCTCCTGTCTCCCGAGCCCAAGGGCCAGCACGGCAGGTGCGGACTAACAGCAAGCACATGGAAGGTCTCTCTCCGTTCACGTCTCCTTTGCCTCACACACACTCGGCCCTGAGCAGCTTTAGCCATCACCCTCTTGAAATCTTGTAGCCAAACTGTGTCTTAATCGTCTTATTATAAATGTAACACGTGCTAAGAAAAAAAACACAAACATAAGCCATTAGAATGAATATTGAGCTCCATGAGAAGATTTCTTGGAGAAATTTCCTACCTCCCTAAGCCTGCTCCCCAGAGATAACCAGGCATAATTTCTCCACGGCTGCTCAGGAATCCTCACTGCAAACTCAAGCGTACTATTCATGCTGTTTCACAAATCGTGTACTGTTTTTTGCAAGCGTCTTCATTTATCACTACTCTTCAGATGTGTTCTTTTTAATGACGGCACTGTACTCTTGCCTCAGTTTCCTCCTCTAACCTGAGCCCACCGCCGGGCCTCCAGGCCGGGCTTTGCATTACGAGCACGGCTGCAGGAAACAGGCTGACTGATGTGTCTGTCATACATACGTGTACGGGGCAACTGTCGGATGAGTTCTTGGCGGAAGAGTGCCGAATCACAGACGATGCTCAGTTGCTCAGTAAGTGGTTTGTAGATACTGCCAAGTTGCCCTCAGCCAAACCAGTTTACATTCCTACCCACTGAGCGTGAGCGTTTGTGTCCCAACATCTTCCTGATTTGACTTGTGCTGCTCTGTTTGAAGTTGAGCATAACCTCACGTTCAGGGACCATTTGTACTTATGTCCTTGAAGCAAATAATCTGTGTGTTGTCCCACTTCCTCATTTCTTGTACGCTTCGGGGTTCAGTGCAGCCTGACACCTGTCCCTCCCATACCATTTGCCTAACCCTGTCCCAGACACTTGACAATGTCCTCCAATCCTCATAGGCTCTAATGAAAGGGGGAAATAGCCCCACCTCACAGACGACACTCAGGTTCAGATGACACTGCTAGGAAGAGACAGACGCCCGTCCAATTCCAAAACTCCACTTCTTTCCATGGTCACGTTGCTGTTTCCCCTGGAAACTTTCCCCGCTTACTGGGGACCTAATTGCTTGTTTTACTCTCTGGGGCACCGGCCATTAAAGAACCTTTGGCTTTCATGACGGGTGTATGAGCTGGAAGGTGGGGGTTGCTGCAAGTGGTGGAAACACTTGAAGCTTGGTTGAACAATAAAGGAAGTACAAATACTTTCATAACATACCAGCTGAAAAGTGGCAAAGCTTGATCCTGGAGCTTGATGTCACCAGCAAGCTAATTTCTTTCCTTCTTTGGGGGCCTCATCCTAAGTTTGGCTCTCCTTGTGTAGTCTCCAGATGGTTGCCAATAATTCCTCAAACTACATCTCCCGGTCCAAGTCCAGAAGAGGGAAAATTCCTAGGCACAGGATTCCGGGCAAAAGTCCCGGGTTTCCCTCCAACTGGATCGTCCCTGCTTGTATGTGCCCTGGTGAACCATCACGGCCTTGGGATGGAAGTCTTCTCCTCTCAAACACAGCTTCATAAATAGAAATCAGGCTTTTGGGGAAACTGACCGGGGGGAGTGAGGTAGAGAAGGAACAGAGAGGAATGTTTACCAGGCAGCACACCTCTGGTGCTCCTACTTCCAGCTGCCCCTTTTCTGACCCCACTCCTGCTCCCGGAGTGTCACTGTCCCCAGAGGCCAGGCTGTGGTATCTCCTCTGTCCTCTGATCCTAGGCCCTTGAACAGCAACAACGCCCAGATTCCTTCCTCCAATCCAGAGCTCTCCCTTCAGCTCTAGATCCAACCGCCTCCTGGACATTCACCACCAGGCATTTCAACTTGGACTAAACTCTTCCTTCTCAATCGTGAGCCTCCTCCCGGGGCTTCTACTGTGCTGGCCGCCAAGCCAGAAACCGGTGGTCACCCTTGACTCTGCCCAGTCTCCTGTCAGACCTTCAGGCCTGGCGTATCTTCCTCCAGCCCTCTTGTTCTCTCCGTCTCCATGTTGCAGTGGCTCCCATTCCAGCCTGTAGCTCACCCACCTCGAGGCCCTTTCGGCTCTCACACTCTCTCAGGTGAGGGTCAGAGCCCGTCAGGATAAACCACAAATGGCTCCTGCCTGCGGCGTCCACGGTGCCCCCGGTCCCGAGAGCACGTCCCCGAGCTCCGAAGTCCTGCCCTTCACGACTCCTGCCTTGTGCCCTTGTTTCTGTTTCCTCAAGGTCTCCTCCCTGTTTTGGCTGGAGAATTTACCTCCTTTTTTTTGTTTTTTTTTTAAGATTTTATTTATTTATTTGAGAGAGAGAGACTCTGAAGCAGACGCCACACTGAGCACAGTGCCTGACGCGGGGCTCGATCCCACGACCGCGAGATCACAACCTGAATCGAGATCAAGAGTCAGACGCTCAACAGACTGAGCCCCCCAGGCGCCCCTCCCTCCATTCTTTGTGACTCTGCTCACCCATCACCAACTTGAGGGCTCTGCTGGGCACTTTCCTTTCTGCACCCTCAAGCAAAGTCTAGACGTCCCCCTTGGTGCCTCCACATTGTCGTGGACCTACCTGCTAAGATGTCTGACCGTGCTCCTCCCCACCCGGGCCCCAGACTGCTAGCGCCTCGAGGACGTGCTCCGGGCCTTTCCTGCTCAGCCCATACCCAGCATGGTCTCCGCATGGGGAAGGTCACCAGCAAATGGCGACGTTAATCCTGTGCTTCCCCAAACACAAACCTTGGAGCCATCACCAACCTCCCTTTCTCTGCATCCTGCCTCCAATCTCCAAGAAAATCCTGCCACTCCTCCCTTGGAAACACATCCCGAACACAACCACTGCTCACTGCCTTCTCTCCCCTGGACTTGGGCAGTCACCCAGCTGGACTCAGTCTTTCCACCCATGGCCCCTTCATTTTAGTCTCAGTCTAGCAGTCCCAACGATCCTTCTGAAATGTCCATCAGATGAGGGCTCTCCCGCTCAGAACCCTGCTCAACTCAGAGGAAAAGCCCAAGTCCTTTCAGTGGAGACAGGATCTGGGCCGCGGACTCTTCTGACCCCACCCCTGACCACTCTCCCCTCTCTCCTCCTTCAGCCGTTCCAGCCTTCCTGCTGTCTCGGAACTTCTCTTATCCCATCAGCTGAAGATACCACACAGCTTCGTCTGCTGAGGTTACGTGATGTCGACCGCAGTGCTGGTCTAATAAAAACCATCATTGTCTGCCCAGTCTCAGTCATGTTACCAAGGAGAAAGATTCACGCTTTATGAGCCTGATGGGATGTTCGTGGCATTAAGAAGAAGAGGAGTAAAAGGCTGAGTCTTAGGCTTACCCTTCCTGGCAAGTACGTTTCTCCACATGCCTGTTTGGGAAGACTACCAGAACCGCTGGCTTTCAACTGTCAGGGCCAACGTTAAGCTCTTGCTGCCAACCTCAGGACCCTCCTGACTTGCCAGCCCTGAGTCAGTCTAGTCTGTAGGACCTTGGCCTCCTTTACATCCAGAACACCAAAGGCACGACCCATGAGAGAAATCACTGATAAGCTGGACTTGACTAAGATGAAAAACACCTCCTCTGTGAAAGACAATGTCAAGAGAATGAGAAAATAAGCACAGACTGGGAGGAAATATTTGCAGAAGACATCTAATAAAGGACTGTTACTCAAAATATACAAAGAACTCTTAAAACTCAACAATAAGAGAGCAAAACTACCCGATTAAAAAATAGGCCAGAGAACTTAACAGATGCCTCACCAAAGGAGATCCACGGACGGCAAGTGAGAATATGGAAAGATGCTCCACGTCATTCATCCTCAAGGAAATGCACATTAAAACAACGAGATACCCCTGCACACTTACTAGAATGACCCAAATCTAGAGCACTGCCAACATCCCATGCTGGCGAGGCTGGGGAGCGGGGGGAACGCTCGCTCACCATGAGCAGGAATGCAGAATGTGCAGCCACTTTGGAAGACAGTTTGGTGATTTCTTACAAAACTAAACCTGCTGTTACCATAAGATCCAGCAGTCATGCTCCTCGGCATTTTCCCAAAGGAGCTGAAAACGTAGGTCCACACAAAAACCTGCACACCGATGTTTATAATAGCTTTATTCATAACTGCCAAAACTTGGGAGCAACCCAGGTGTCCTTTAGTAGGTAAGTGGATTAAAAAAACCGTGGCCCATCCAGACGATGGGACATTTTCAGTGCTAAAAAGAGATGAGCTACAAGCCATGAATAGACATGGAGGAATTTCAAATGCATTATTTCTAGGTGAAAGAAGCCAATCTGAAAAGACCACATGCTGCGTGGTTCCAACTCTATGGCGTTCTGGAAAAAGTGCAGCAACGTACACAGTAAAAGGCTCAGTGTTTGCCAGGGTTTATGGGAACCGATGAGTAGGTGGAACACGATTTTCAGAGTAGTGACAATATTCTGTAGGATATCATAATGATGGATCCATGTCCACACATCCTTCTACAATTGTCCAGACCCGTAGAATGTGCAACACCCAAGAGTGAACCCTAATGTCAGCTGTGGGCTCTGGGTGATGATAGTGTGTCATGTGGGTTCAACAGTTGTGGCAAATACACCCTCTGGTGGGGGCTGTTGATGGGGTGCCGTGCATGTGTTGGGGGAAAGGGTATAGGGGAAATCTCTGTCCCTTCCCAATTTGGCGGTGACCCTAACACTGCTCTAAAAAAGTAAAGTGCTAATAAGAAACTTTCCCCATGCCAAGTGCACAGACTTGCTCCCCTTCAAAGCCTGAGGTGCCCGGGAATAAGCTGAGGGCCCCTGAAAACCCAGCCAGCCCTCCATTTCTGACTTGTGTGTCTAAACCCAAGGTCAAAGAGCACTCATTCGAGAGTCCCAGCTCCCCATCCCCGGGCAGTGTCTAGGGGTGACCCTGTTTCCCAGGGGGCACTGTGGGTGGCCTGTGTGACCAGATCTTAGGCTCAGCCATGTGGGAGGCGTTGCAGAGGGACACAGCCCTCCTGGCCTCCTGCTGAGGCCCCCCAACCTCCAGCAAGTTGGATGCTCCCATGTCCACGTCCTGCTGGGCCAGACCGGGCAGTGGACATCTTGTCCCGTGGCTGCGGAGGGAGCCCGCGGTGAGCCTGGCGGCCCACACGGGTGGCCCAGTCACCAGGTGCCAACACGGAGCCCTTCGTCTCTGTTTGCAGGCTGGCGGTGATAAGCATAAGCAAACATCCTGCGGACCACGCAGGCTGGAGGGCTGTGGCTCCAGGGGGCAAAGGTGCCCCAGGGACCCTTCCCGTGCGGAAGCCAAGCCCGAGCCTGGAGAAGCGTGGGCCAGAGGTGGGAAGGGATGTGGCCGCCGCGAGGCCTCCCTCCGCAGTCTCCTCAGACTCTGCCCGCCTGCCTGGGAGGCCCGAGGCTGCCAGGCCTGTGGACGTTTGTGCAGCCTGCCCAGGGGGCCGACAGCCAGGCAGGGGCTGGCCTGTGGGTGTCTGGCCCAGCTGGACGTTGGCTGCCTTCCTCCTGCCGGCCCTGGCGCTCAGCCCACAGCTGGCGCGACGCTGAGACCTTTCCCCCACTTCCAGCTCGGGCTCCAGATGATTCCAGGCCCCTAAAGTTTACAGAAGTCACATGTGCCTGGCAAGGGCTTCCCAGGCCATTCCCTGCCTCCTCTCTGCTTGCTTGGGCCTGAAGGCCACACAAGCAAGCAGGGAAGGGAACTCTGGCCCCTGAGGAGGTGCGTCGCAGGCCTGCAGGGCTGAGGCGGGCTGGAGCAGGACGAGGGGCCACCCTCTGGGCTCTAAGGCCCCCAGCACAGCTCCAGATCAGCACAGCACCTGCCCTGTCCACGGTCGGGCACCTTCCCAAGCCCTGAGTGCTGCTGGAGGGCATTAGTCCTGTGGGCGGGCCTCACTGACCCACTTCCTCTCAGCTGCCTACACGGTGGGCCAGTCATCATGGGACCCTCCTTGTGTCCCCAGCCTCTGTTGTCTGCTTCTAATTCCCTGGACCTTGAGAACCACAGGCCCAGCTGTTGGTGCTCCCTGCTGCGTCACTGTCCCACGGGGTTCCCCGATCTCTCACAGCCCAGACACCATCCTCAAGACACAGAGTGACAACAGTGGGGGACAGCAGGGCCCAGAGAGGAATGCAGGTCTTCCCGCTCCAGAGCCCAAGGCCCAGATGGAGAAACTGAGGCACAGAGGTAAGCGGGGGCCCAACTGAGCCCTGGTGACCCCCAGCCCCAACCCCAGGCCCTGCCTGGACCCTGGAGCAAAGAGCTGGGGGGATGCAGGGATGCATGGGGTAGGGGCTCCCAGCTTCCTCACTCCTGCCTGAGGGGCAGGAACAGCCTCTTCCCCAGAGGGCACGGGGCCAGGTCCCGATCCTGCCTCTATCATCTAGCAGCTCCCTGGTTGGAGAGGGAATGTAAAGGAGACCGTCGTGGCTACCCCTCCCCGCCCAGCCTCTCAGGGAACCCCATCTCGATGGAAGCCTGCAGATGCTCCCCCCAGCCCCGACTCCCTCTAGCCTGCTGTCTTGTCAGACCTGGCAACAGAACTGTCCCAGCTGCTTGGGGATTGCAGGACAGGGGCACCCGGAGTCAAGCCAGTGCTCTGGGTGAGTAGTGGGACTTAGCAAACCAGGAGGTGGGGCCCCCAGGCCGGCCACAGAGCCCTGGGGCCTCCTTCCAGGTCTCCTGGGTCTGCGCCCCTCCCCGGCCAGGCTCCTTCAGCTCCCTGTGCTGGCAAGCGCTGGTCCACCTGCACCTGCCCAGCTCCCGGGTGGGCTGCTCCCTGCCTTCCTGTCCCCGCGGGGAAAGCTCCTGGGGGCTCACAGGCTGGGGGGGGGGTGACGGCAGCCCTTATCTAGAGCTTGAAAGGACGTCATACCTGGTGGGGAGGGCCCAGAGCTTGGGGGCCTGGGACAGGTGAAAAGGGGAATCTAATTGTATTTCTAGAAAAATCCTGGGAGCCGGATGCTGCCCTGTGACGGGTGGTCACCATGCCTTTCCTGAGCTGCCGTTTTTGCAGTTTGAGAACGGAGTAGTGATGAAACCCAGCTCCTGGCTCGTGTGAGGACGAAGATGGTGCATATAAGGTGCTGAGCCCGGTGTGAGCGCTCAGTGTGCTCAATGATATTAGAACTTCCCGGCACAGAGTGTCTGCCCTCCACCTTCTATTAAGAAACAGCAGTTCCGAAAATACAAACAGACAAAACAAAAAACCAAGATTTCCTGGGTGGCTCAGTCGGTTAAGCGTCCGACTCTTGATCTCAGCTCAGGGTCCTGAGTTCAAGCCCCGCACTGGGCTCTGGACTAGATGTGGAGCCTACTTCAAACAAAAAACAAAAAACGAAATAGCAGCCCTCCCCCTTCCCTCCCATCCGTCCCCTTCACTTCCTTAACAATCTGGTTCAAAGCCCGTAGGTGAGTGCAAGGTAGGGGTGTGTGTCTGGTTGGGGGACACAGTGGTGAGAGCGGGTGTGGGCACACAGCGGGGTAAGGAGGGCATCGCCCAGCCTGACAGGGACAAGCAGGTGCTCCGTGGGAGGGCAGGGAGACGGCCTGGCACAGGGTCAGAGACTGAGCAGTGGGGCAGGACAGCGTGGTACGGTGCCAGGTCCCAGCAGAGGAGGAGGACGTGGGGGTGCTGCCCAGTGTGGGTGCAGCTCCCGAGCGGGGTGAGGGCAGCATCCGGGGGGAGGGTGCAGATGGGGATCCCCGTGGTGGGGGCTGGCGTGAGCTGTCAGAGCCCAGACGGGGCGAGGGGCGTTGGCCCCGGGGCAGCTGAGAGGAGGCCCACATGGAAGGCCGGTTCCCGGTTCCCTGGGAGGGGCTGGCCTGATGAGTGACCACATTACGGAAGCCACTCTCCCCCACCCCCCATCGGAGAAGAGTTACAAACGTGGAAAAGGAGCAAACTGGAGCGGACCTACACTGTTCGTTGGCACTGGAGAAGCTCCCTGTGGGAACTCAAAGTTTTCAATATTTCTTTATTTCAATATTTACAGATAGAGAAACAAATGTCCATGTGCATTCATGTGTGTGTGCCTGTTCATATGTGTGTGTGTACGTGAGTACAGGCATACGTGCGTGCATATGCGTGTGCATGCATGTGTGTGTGAGTGCAGGCAGACGTGCATGTGTGTGCGTGAGCGTGTGTGTGTGTACGTGAGTGTAGGCAGACATGCATTGTGCGTGCATGCGCATGTGTGTACGTGAGTGCAGGCAGATGTGCATGTGTGTGTGTGAGCGTGCATGTGTGTATGTGCGTGAGTGCAGGCAGACATGCATTGTGCGTGCATGTGTGCGTGTGTGTGTGTACGTGAGTGCAGGCAGACATGCATTGTGCGTGCATGCGTGCATGTGTGTGTGTGCGTGAGCGCAGGCAGACATGCATTGTGTGTGCATGCGTGCATGTGTGTGTGTGCGTACGTGAGCGCAGGCAGACATGCATTGTGCGTGCATGCGTGCGTGCGTGTGCATGTGTGTGCGTGAGTGCAGGAAGACATGCATGCATGTATGTGTTGGTGCTCTCCCAGGGCCGCTGAGAAGGCCTGGGAGCTGTGACGCCCTAATCACAGTGGGCACACCAGGGACCCAAACCTGGGCTTCTCGGTGTCATTCCCACCAAAAGGAGCCAGGGCTCTGGGAGAGGTGGCCGATCCCAGCGACGGGGTGGGGGCGAGCGCACAAGCAGAGCCCAGAGCACCTCGTCGAGCAGAAAGCAAGAACAAGCTCCAAGGATGGGGACGCGGCGAAAGGACCCGACTCGAGCTTCAGAATAAGTAACCATCACAGAACCAAACAGAACCCCACAATCCCACGCGGGTGTACACTAACCCATGAATACATCCACATTCTGATAAAAAATCAGGTATTTACACACTTTCAAAGGACCATCCCTCAGAATATTTCTTAATTACAGAATAAAAGAGAGCACCTTTACGGCGGGGAAGCTGGCAGACCCCACCCGAGGCATCAGTAGTAACGGGAGAAATCCATCCTGGCTCTGAGCTAATCGCGCTCAGAACACAGCAGCCCTGAGGAGATGTTCCCACAGACGTCTCCCCGAGTTCTAGCTACTAAGTAGTCAGGGGAACCCACGTGGAGGCCCAGAGCGGGCTTCTTCCCTCTCGGGAATCCCTCGGAGAATCCTCTGGCCTGATAATTTCCTAAAATATGGTCTGATGTCTGCTCAGGGCTTCTCCTCCCAGAGTCCTTGTTTCAGCTCACCCGTGTGGTAAAGACCTGCGAGTGTAGACAAAGCCCAGGGCTCTGGAGAGGGCTTCCCGGGGAGCACCTGTCATGGACACTGGCGGACGCTGGCCTGAG